GAGAGAGAGAGAGGAGGAAAGAAAGAGAAAGAAAGAAAGAAAGAAAGAAAGAAAGAAAGAAAGAAAGAAAGAAAGAAAGAAGGAAAGAAAGAAAAGAAAACAATACACACAATTGAGAACAGAGAGAGAATCAAGATTTGACACAAGACTATCAAATCCAAAGCCCATGCTTTTTCTAGAATATCATTCTGTGTTTCAACTAGTAGACCCCCTAATGGCAAAGAAAACAATTTAAAAGACAGTAGATATCTCTCAGATGATATGTTTAGCTCTTATAACTAATAAATTTAATAAAATACTTTCTCAAATATAATCTCATTTGACGTAAGACTATTTCAAGGCAATGGGAAAAAAAGCAGTAATCTACCAAATTTGTAAATGAGTAAGCTGCACTAGAATAATGCTTCCCAAAGTGGAAGGTAGCTTTGCTCACCGTCACTTTGAACACCTTTAAGGTTATTCCCAGGGCCTTCTGGATGGTGGTAGAGGAGACACTCAGTTCCCTAATGTACATATTAGCAATGTCTTCACAGTGCTGGAGACTTGAATGACAGATGGCTCAGTATGACAGATATCTTAAATCAAGACAAAAGTGAAATCAAAGTTTAAAAAAAAATCTTTAAATTTTTAAACAGTTACTCAAAAAAGTTAAAAAAAATTGAAATGATAGTTATTATACTATAATTCCTGTCTTTTCGCTAAATCTTCAGTAGTAGTCTTCAGGGCCAGCAATATAATTTATCTGGTTAAAAATGCTTGCCCGGAAACACAGTCACCAGAGGTGGAGGGAGAGGACCAACTGCATAAAGTTGTGTACCACACAGGCACCATGGCATGCATGCCCCCCACTCACCTCTCTCCTCTCTCCCGCCCATCCACCTACCCACACACACTAAATTTAAAAACATACAGAGCTCTCCACTAGGGCAAATATAGAATCTATGAAGTACTTTGAAGTTCAATGTCAAGATTAGGGTTGAAAATTAATCTTGTCTTTTAATCCAGTTTATTACTTCTTGCATTCAGTTTCCTCTAACAAGAAGAGAAACTTTCCCACAAAGAACTAATTCCCATCGGTGTACCATCAATAAGGCAGGTGTTTCACGCTGGCTATGATTCAGTCATGCTCATCATGATGGTCCTTTGCTCTCGTAGCCAACATTTATATTTGTGAGATGCTAGAATCTGTAACAATGCAGAGAAGGAAGCTAACAGAGCTATACAAGGTTAAAAATAGTGGCGACCACACAAACTGAGATATACATTTGCAAAAATCTGCATCAAATGATACACACACACACACACACACACACACACACGCTCACATTATTTTGATCCCAGTTGGAAAGCAATGGCCAGATAACTTGAGATTTTTTCCTATTGCCCCGTATGAAATGACCTGCATGAACATCTTCCAAAGACATCTAAATTCCTACTTTAATAAGTTAAATGGCTTTAGTGAGTTGTAAGTAAGAGATAACTTTAGGGAGTGGTGTGACAGAGGGTCTCAAGTAAACAAGATTAAACTTGAGCATGCCAGGTATAAGGCTAGCCTTGAACTCTTGATCCTGTTGCCCCCATCTCTTGAGTACTGGGATTGCAGGCATGTGCCACTACGTCTAGTTCTAAAAGTTGACTTTTTGCCAGGGACTCAAAATGAAAGAGCAATTTACTTAACTTTCTTTTTAAATTTTTATTTTATGTGTATGGGTGTTTTGTGTGTGTGTGTGTGTGTGTGTGTGTGTGTGTGTGTGTGTGTGTGTGTGTGTTACCAGCAGAGGCCAGGAGAGGGTGTTGAGTTCCCTGAAGTTACATGGTTGTGAGCTGCCATGTGTGTCATGGAAATGTAACTTCTGTCCTCTGGAAAAGCAGCTAGTTAGTGCTCTTAACTGCTGAGCCATCTCTCCAGCCCTGTTTAACTTTCTAAAAATACTTTTTATCTGACAGGGGGTGGGGCCGAAATGCTCAAAATGCTAGCTACCATTGCATGAGACTTTTGTCACAGTCACAGGCAAGGTGGTGTCCACATGGATCCTAGAGAAAGATTTCCAGACGGTACTGGGACACCCCCCGCCCCATGCCCATCTTATTGTAGTTGCCAAACCACAATGGATTCTTTACATTTTTAGATAAAGAATCCCAACATACACCAGGACCATCTTTATTATAAAAACCTGAGCAAAGAGCTCTCAAAGCTATTGCCCTTTTCCAAGGAAATAAAAGAATCTTTTGAAAGAAAAGCTTTCAAATCAGGATGCCCTAAGATTGAGGGACTACTGTGTGAGAGCAGAAGCACTGGCTGGCTCAAACAGGCTCTTGGAGGGGATTCCCATCAGATGACAGCAGAAGTAGCTGATGGTATTTCAGCCAAGAAGTAGTCAGTCGATTTTAGTGGCCGAGAAAACATACTCAGAAAATCCAATGAACAGCTCACATGTCTTCCATGTTTTAGATAGCTAAGAAATGCCCTTTTTTTAAAAAAAAAAAAAATTCACTTTGAAAAGTTAAGATTGTTTATAGAAAGCATTTGTTATAAAGAAAGGGGCCGGAGGAAAGGAACTGGAAGAAAACACTCCTTCAAACTCTTAAAACCTGGTTTGACGAGCTCAGAGTCTCCAAGATTCTTCACACCCAGCTCATCGATGCTCGAGGTCAGTTGGCATCTAATCTGGACAGCCCCTTGTGCCCAGCAGCAATAGGCAGTAAGGGGTGCATACGGGAATCAGAGAGCACAAATAACTGATTCATTTTTGCGCATGGGTGAGCTCAGAGAAGGAGCGACTAACTTAAATTGGAAGGTTGCCGAAGGCTGCCTGGAGGAGGCGCTGCCTTCCAGGATGGAGCTTGAGGGCAAAGAGAAAAATTAGCGTTGGAGGTTGCTGTAGCGCAGAATTCCTCACAAACCGGACATGTGCCCTTTGCAGAAAAGGCTAACAAGGGCCATGAGTGTGCTTTTGTAGAGGACCGAGTCTTGCCTTCCGTCTGTTGAGAGGTGTGGGAGGAGCCCGGAGAGGAAAGGAACCAAAAGTTGCTTCTCAGGACCCTCTTTCTAA